TATACAAGATGTATCTCTCTCAAATTTATAATCACTGTCCCTTCATAAAAACTGGGTCATTGTGAGCATGTCCAGACTGCAAGTACCCCTTATTTGTGCCATGACATAGAGAAGGTAAAAGATTGGGGTTTCGAGATTGCTGAGTATCTTCAGCCAAAACAAGAACAACTATAATTTTCATTAGACAGCAAAAATAAATTGAGTGTAAGAAACAGGGTTCAGTTTGGGGTAATTCTGATCTAGTTTGTACCTGTTTTAGCTGTTAAAATAATATAAACTTGCATTTGAGAATGTGGCCATGTCACATGTACAATAGCACCAGTAAGTGGATTTTTTTAAACTAAATGATGTATACATGGAATCTCAACATTTTTCTTGAAGTGGCTGAGTGATTTATCTCAACAGATTTCTGCACTTGGGATTTTCTTTACTCAAAGATGCTCAAAGGAAGCAGTTTAATGCAAACTCTCAATATGTCACATTTTGGCAGTGATTGCTTAATGCAGCAGTGCACAAATGAATTGCTCCACTGCATCCTCTGATCATGAATATGAATCGGAGTACTATAAACTGAACTCAATGTACTGATAAGTGACTGCATCTGATTGTGCCAGCAGCCAGATGATTTTCTCATTAATGAGCTGAACTATTAAAAGATGGAAGAATATGAAGCCAAGCCAGCATTGCCTGAGCCTCTTTGCTGACATTTTTCCAGGCCTACCAGAAAGCTTTGCCAACCAGTGAAGGAAAAATTCATCCCAAAAAATCTTTTATGAATGAAGACAAATAAAAGCTTCAAGGCTCAAATTCTGTTTCGGATTACATGGATGTGACTCCCTTTTAGTTGCAGTGTTTCTGTTTTAGTATGGGACAACCCAGATTTTGATATTAAGGAATTACACTCCTCCTTTGGTTTTCAGCCTCTGCTATTTGTGTATAGCCCATGGCTGCTAGGAAAAGACAGACAACCTCATTCAACTAAGCAGAGCTTCTAAATTCATTAAACTGAGCGACACAGATTTATGGAAGGCATGTGGCAAACACATCCTCTGCAATAACAATAATCTGTTAGAAATACTTTTAATTTGGATATTTTCAGAGTCTTATTCAATGTCAAGCACTGATGTATAAAAATCCATTATTGTTCGCAAGCATCACCATGTTGCTTTGCAATTTAAATATGGCCCCATCTCAGTTGGAAGCACCTTCAGTACAAGTCCAGAATGAGGTATGTAGATCACAGATCACTTAGATCTTTTCTCCTATAGAAATGCGACATGTGGATTAAAAAAAAAAAAAAAAAAAAAAGAAGTAAAGAGCGGGTCTGCAGGCACCACCACTGCTACGGCAAATCTGCCTCTAGAGGGCATTGCAAGCCAAATGTTTTCCCTCACAAGTGTTGAGAACATGGATCAGCCCGGAAGGCAGTCCTTAAATTGCCTAAATTAAGATATTTTCCTGTGTTTACAACATCAACTATGTAGCAGTCAAAAAAACTATTGGGCAGAAACACTGAAGGATCTTCAATCCACTGAGCAATAGAAAATTTTTTTGGTAAGAATAGATGTTACCAGACATTTTCTAATATACCTGAAGCCTCTCAGGACAAGAGAGGCTGTGAGCTAATTTTTGCACTTAACTGTTCCCTTTTAATGACTTTGCTTTCATCCTTGTACGAGTGATGCCATCCCCACAGGTGGCTGAATCCAAAGATCATTCTCTGGTCATTAGCAAGGAGGTGCAAAGATGCTTTGAATACTTAGCACCTGGAATGTAGGCCAGTGCATCTGATACAAACCAAATAACATTATTATTTGACTCTCTCAAGATCTATGATCTGTGAAAATTGCTCAGATATAAGTGACATCAAAGCATTATGTAGGCTTTTTGTATGTAAGACAAAAATATCTAAGTGACACATCATGAGATGGTAGGGAGCTGGTAGGATGGGCTCTTCCCAGTATGGGCTGTTTTCTAAAGGACTTATTGAGCCTCTGCAGACATGTAGTAGGAAAAATCCAAACTTTTTTTTTTTCTCCTCTGTACATGTGAACTAAATCAGTTCAAATGACAAAAACTACTTTTCTGCTACTCGAAACCAAGGAACATTCTTGTCTTGCTGCATGATGAAGGCAATATTTTGTCATTGCAGAGAACAGCAATCAAGTCCTTTGCTATAGTTTGGCTATGGATGTTTAACTATTCATATTTGTTCAACTACAATTAACTGAAATACATTCAATACATTCTTCTTTTTCTGAAGACTGATATTTGTCTATTTTCCCTACCATGACAGTGATTCTTTTTGATTTTTAGGTACCACTGTGAGAGTTTTGCTAAATGTCATAGCGAACTACATTCCTAAGAGGCTACAAGTCTTGTAGACTCTTAAAGGTCCAGGAGTCCCTTACAAATTTTCAGAGTGCTCAGCTCATTTCCTGGTGCCTTATTTCCTGGTGCCATTCTGTGTGTTAAGATTTTGTACAGTGAGAATAGTTATTAACATCCCTTAAAAGGCAGAAACATCTTCTCTGAAACACATAGCATGCTATAAAACAACAATTTTAACAATAAGGAAAACTCAGAGTACATAAAATGTTAAAAATATAATAGTTAAATATACTAGAAAAAGCAATTTGATAATTAAAACAGAAGGGTAAACTATATCAGGAAGAAAGTTATACAGGAGTAAAGTAAAACCACTTACACAATCAGTAATTTTACTGACAGTTGGTTACACAATGATAGCATCAAAATTCTTCCTGTCTTGTTCATTATATTACTGCAGTGAATAGAAATATCAAAATTTCAGCTTTAATGGGCTTTGGCTGAAACTGTAAGTTTGCCATTTGTAAACATTTTGATTTAAGCAAGACAGCAGAAAAAAATGGTCCCTCTAGAATAATTATCAAATGGTTTGTGTAAATGTAAATAAATGTTTGATGTACTTAATGAGAAATGAAAGGACTCCGGGATTATACTGTGGGTACACAAAATAGTTTGGATGCTATATGCCCATGAATGACCTAAATTCTGTTTGAACTCCCGATACAGAATATTGGATTCCCTGTGAAATGAAACTTGAAAAAGACACCCAAAATCCAAACCTCATTTTGTAGATGTTTATTTGTCTAATAAAGTAAACAGATTTGGTTTTGTGTAAGAACATTTCTGGTTATCTGCTTAGAAACAGAAAAGTTTTGGGCTTTTTTTTTTGGCAAGAGGAGGAAAAGTGTGTATGTATCAAACAATTCCCATTGGAAGCATTGGGTTTGATCTCCCTCTGTGCTCTGGCCCCTCAGCCATGAGCACTACCACCCTGCAGTACAGGCTGCATGGGAGGCTATGCTTTGTCCTGGGGGCAGAGACACTGAAAGGAAGAAAGGGAAAGAAAGATTAATCTGATAAAGGCATTGCCATTTCTAATCGGACTGATGTGAAACTGTGGTATGAAGTTAAAGAGGCAACGCAGGGTGAATTACTTTGATGAACTACCTTAAAGCTGAAGCAATCAAATAGATAGCTCTCACATATAAAAATTACTGTGCCATCTTTATTCATCAACAGTTTTGCACAAGTGTCTCATGTTCAATCCCTTCCAGGAACAACTAAAGCACTCTGATACATTGGATAAGATTAAATCTTATCTGGGAAACTCAGCCACTGGGGTTGTGCTTCCTGCTTCCCAGACTTAATTTCTCATAACAGAAATAAACCTTTTAAAGCTTGAGAATAACAAACTCCAAAAAGTAATACCAGTACAGCACAGTGCCTGCTCTTGCAACCTGCTGGAATGGAATTGGAAGGGCTTTTACTCTGGTGTGTGGTAGCAGTAAAACTTTTTCACATAGCCTGACAGGTGAAAACCTAGAGAAAGGAAATTTGTGACTCCTAGTTTATAGAATCAGAGAATGGCTGGGGTTGCAAGGGACCTTTAAGATCATCCAGATCCAACGTCCATGCCATGAGCAGGCACACCTTCCACTAGACTAGGTTCAGAAAGTATTCATACAAACAGACATGGAAGTTTTATTCACATTTATAGGGGCCATAAGAATCACATTTAAAAAATAGTACTAAAAAGCCTACCATTGAGTAACAGATAAACAATCAATATTTGATTCAAATATAGTCAAATGATATGAAAAGCAAATATGGTATCATAGAAAATTCAGCATAAAATTCCTGTAAAAATCCACTCACATGATTTTAAGAATCAGCTTGTAATTTGATCTTTAGATATGCTGAGATCTTCTCGTGATGCTGAATTCTTTGAGCCTTTTGAAGTGGATGGGCTCTGAGGATACTCAATATTTTGCAGGACTGTTTGCTAATGAACAGAGGAAACAAGCATAAGTTTTGTGTGCTCAATTGTGTTCTTCTGACCAAGCATCACACAATTTTGTACTCACAGCATACGGGACAAGGAGTTAATGCACAGGTACTGATAAAGACAATTAAATGGAAATACAAAACCTGACCTAGTAATAAGGTATATATGTTATCAGAACTTTATTTTTTTAAAACTGAAGTTCTTTCACCCACAGAAATGCTAACAGGATTGAAAATATGTTATCTTCCATTTAATGCCTATCCTGCACTTCTGAAGTCATGGATCAGTCAAGGATACCTAACACTGAAGATGATGAACAACAGTAATGAACCAGATACATTTATAGTTGTGAGGGGATAAAGAGAGATAAATTTTACACTTTTTTCCTTTTTTAGTGTTAACCTCACTTACAAATGTGTAATAAATAAATGTGATTCTGAGTATTTTACTTGATGACTCTGATTTTGTATTCTAAATTATTTATACTAAATAAAATACAGTTTTTTCAGAAATTATTACTTTAAGATAAATTTTTTTTAATTCATTTTTGATAATTCTTGGAAGCCATATTGCCTTAAGTTCAAGCAAAATCAATTAAAACTACTTCAGACACAGTATCCACCACAAAAAAGAGTATTTTATGGAACATTTAGTCAACATACTGCTGTATATTTGCTGAAATGCATTTATTGACTACTTTTCATGTGTCTCCAGGACAAACATACTGCTGTATATTTGCTGAAATACATTTATTGGCTACTTTTCATGTGTCTCCAGGACAATTACAGTATTTGCCCAGTGCTGGAGTAAGTTTTTCCAAACTTTTCGAAGAGAGCAATTGATGAAAACAGTGTTTCAAAGTCCTAAAGAAAAGAAAGAAAAAAAATTATGTTAGGCTTAAGTGGGTTTGGCTTTTTTTTAAGGGATTTTAGAGTTCTAAATATTGTCTTCTAGTTACATTTATTATATAGATAGAATGCAAATTATGCAAAATAGTGAATATTAAATATAATTTTTACATTATATGAATATTCCCTTGAAGAGGAGCAAAATAATGGATTTAATTGAAAGCAAATATGTATTTCAAACTCTCAGCAACTAGAAGAACTGCAGAAATTTCCTGCTTTAGAAATTATATTTTGCAAACCATGGCATACAAAAGTTTATTCTCCTCCCTGGAAACCAGGCAGGTTAAAGAAAGCACAATAGTCTTGCTATATTTAAAATTTTCTACCCTGGTTAACACTGAAATAGAGGTATTAAAACAGCTACATAGGAAATAGTTTTTAAAAATTAATATCTATTAATTAAGCACTAGTGGCAATAAATTGATTAGGAGAAGCAGGGTGATTCCTGAACATGTTTTTTCCCCAAGGTAAATTTCTTGCTTATTACATTCAATTTTTTAGTGCAAATGCTTAAAAATCTAAATTGAATAAGGGAAACACAAGTGAAGCTGTGCCTTAAGAATACAACATAAATTCAGCCAACACACAAGATAGTAAAACAAAGTGTTCTAAACCATATTTTGATTTGTCTACTTAGTAAAAAGTACTCATGGTAAATGATTAGCAAGTCCATGGTATTTAAGATTAAGGTTTTAAAACCTTCTTAATAAAATTATTTCCTTGAACCTGAAGTACTGAGGATAGTGTAACAATAGAAAATACTTGGTTTGCTTTAAAATGGCTTTTACTTTTAGAAAGTAACATGCCACAGATGAACTCTCAGCTTTCTAGGATCTGATGATTAATTTTTAAGGAGTTGTTCTGAATACTTTGTACTGTTTTCTATTGCCAACATGTAGCTCTGTGAAAGTGGAAGAAATTGAAACATCATGGAATGTCTGAGGCCATGAGTTAAAGAAAGGGAAAAGTTTTATCTTTTCAACACATTTCCCAATCTGAATGGTTTCATTTCATCTTTAAAAGAGAATAAAAACTTTTTTTTTTAAGGACATGAAGCAGAATTATCATTCCCTGGACAATTTGGATTTAGTTACTTCACAGAGCACAGTTCAGCTGTACCTCTATCAATAAAGCACCTCTGACTTCAAGTAAGATTCATGCAAACACTGACTGGGCCCACCTGTCTTTCATCTTCATTGCACTTTGCCAAACTGAGAACATATGATTTCTTACATCTCACACTTAAATTTGTTTACTATCATTCCTCCAAATTTCTGGTGCATAAATCTTAAAATAGCAAGGTAGACCTACATTCAAAATTAAATAATTAAATAATCCATGTGTGGTGTGAAAGTGAGTACTATCCCATTCCTAAAGGATTCACAAGATTTACTTTTTAATGTTTCTCTATGCCTTATACTGGCCAATTTTTTATTCAACCGAAATAGCCTATTTGCATATTTTGATATTAAACTTTTAGAATGGCACAATATTCTAATTTTCAGTGTCTATTCAGCATCAGAAGCATCTTCCTACCATAGGAAACTTTGTCCATATAATTATTCTAATAAATATTATAGTATCTCCAATACAACTGCAAATGGTTTCCTTCTAAAGCGAAGCCAGTTATATTTAATTCAGTAAATTAACCAGACTAATTCTGTTCATGGGAATGGAAAAATCAACAAACCAGCTCTAGTTGCTGAGAAAGCAAGCAGATAATCCAGCAATAATTTAGGATTAAGCAGTAATTCAGAGCAGAACATGGTATCTATTATTTTTAAAACAGAAAGTATCTCATTAATTTACATGCAGGATAGTTACGTACAGCTTAACAAACTGTGAACAGTTTAGCAAGCGGTGAACTTTGGGTGAGACAGGGAAATCAGTGAAACCTGTGCAGCCACTATCAGGATAAAATCAGGAATGGGAAGGCTGAGCGTTGCAGAGATCTTTATTTGCTGGAGCAGACGGCTTTTGCTATTAGGATTCCTAGCCAAACAAAAACAATTGGCTGCCAAAATTAGCTCCTTGGGACGATTTAGGAGCCTTTGAAGTGAACAGTGTTTTTGAGCTGGAACTAAGCCCAGGTCCAGCTTCAAACTCAAATCAAAATGACAAAGAGGAAATTTTTTGTGCCACACACCCCCTCAGTGTAAGATTACTTTGGTTTGGCAGCTGTACTGTTTATCTTGTTATTGAAAACTATTCCACTAGATACTCACAACTGAGCATTTAAACAACTGGCTCTGATTATGACGACAGCGGTTATGTTTGACCATATTTAGGGAACATTACAGAGTCTGATGGATAAATAAAAGCATTCTTGGCTTTAGAGTTACATTAATTAAAGAAACTTAGGAAGTATACTAGGTAAAAATTGCATAGCATGCATTTAAAATATAAATATATTTTGGGAAACAGATCTTGTTTCTATTTTTTCTGTATTTGAAGATAAAGATTTTAATCAGGTTTCAACAGAGAAATAAAGTAAGGCCTGAAATCACCACCTGGCCTTGCAGGATCTACCTCACAGCACAAAGGGAAAGGAATTGGAGGCCAGGTTCTTACATTCATCTAATGGAATGGTGAAATGACCACTCAAAACATGAAGAGAAGCATAGTGATGGACTGCTCATTGATTCTGATGGGAATCATCTTGAATTTAGGCTGTTTGGTACATAGCATAGAAGTTATGAAGTTATGTAAATAATAATCCTTTTGAAGAACATAGGTTGTGAATGGAGAAAAACAGGCTTCGTCAAAATTATTTTCACCATCAGTTCCTCTCTCTTGGTAGCTGGAATGAATAGACTTACAAATATGAATTCACACATATTGGTAAGCCCAGTCTACAGTTTTGCTCTTGGGAGCACAGGAGCATAGAGCTGAGCTTTATGGAATTTTTCCACAATGCATTCTTAAATCATGCCATATAACTCTCAGGATCAGAGAGCTGAAATTCTCAACACTGAGAACTACTTTGAAATTCCCAAACAAAGTTGATATAACACTTCCTTTTTAAATTTGTCAAGCTTTGACTGTTTTCACTCTAGTAAATTGTAAGTGACTCAAGTTCAGCTGACAGAGCTTCACAAGACCCTTTCAATGTATTGTATACTTGAGCTTGTGAGCTCATCAGTTCGAAACAATGGAGTCAGAAAAGGTGGCATAAAGCCACCAAAGATTTGTTTCAATCAGCACTCTGATGTCATAGATTAGACTTGCCAAATGGTTACATAGTCTATATTTGGAATGTTATTAAAGCAAATTCCAAAGACATTTTTCATCTGACTATGCAGACTTACATAAATACAGATCACGTACAAATGCTGGCAAAAGAACAAGACCTTGCAGACCTTCAGATTGGTTTGGAGGCCCTTGAAAATGACTTCTGTGATATTCTAGAAACAAATTTGTACTAAGAGTGTTTCTTTCCAAGCAATTTTGAGAGTACTGTACAATATCCCGTAATATAAAAATGCAGTTAAAAATGAGATAGGAATTACCATTGAGTATCTTCTTGGAAATTTAATGAAGTAGAAAGTAGCTGCCTCAGACAAAAGCTAGAACAGACAAACAGCAGTAGTAGATTGACTCTCAGATTCTAAGGCCAGAGAGCACTCTTATTACCATTTATTCTGAGCTCCTGCATACACACTTCAGGGTAATTTCACTTATCAAATCTCTCAAGTCCATAATAATTATGAAACTGTTAAGCATGTGATAAACTTGGAACAATAAGCATACAATAAACTCATATTATCTGATTTACAGGATAGGATAGTCTTTCCTTTCTCTGTAATTACAAAACTTGTGTTTGCTGAACAAGTAAAGATTTGGTTGCATGAATTGAGATTAAATTTGTGTTAGGCTGTACAAATATAGAACTCTTTCATGGGTTAGTAGAAGCAACTTGTGCAGAAGTTCCAAATATAAATTGCATAATGACAAGCATTCTCTGAAATGTATATCATTCCATCAATAGCAGATATTCAGAGTAGTGATTCCTCTTCTGAGTCAATCAAAAAATACTAAAGAGACAGTGTATAAATGCATTTATGTCAACCATGGCACCATGTGCCATGAAAAGTTTGCATCTGAGAAAAACTTTTTTGTAGTGCTGGAATTGTATCTGTTGCTCCTATAGAGACATTAGGTCTCTTCTGTTCTTCTCTTTATAGAATACCTATTCTGAATGTAAATTCTATTAGGAATTAATGGCAGAAGGAATAACTGAAAAACGGGCACAGCTGCTGGAATAATAATTCTATCTTCATGCTACTGAGTAGCAAAACCAGGAAACAATACTTTGAAATTATTATCCACAGGTACACACCAAGATCTTAAAGGATGCAGTGGAAAATTCTGTACAAATGTCCCTGCAGCAGGAATTTTCTTAGTGTAGGGTAAGACACTGAGCAATCCTGCTTTCCCACAAAGTCAGGAGACATCCCATGTGCACAGCTCCTTTGGAAACCAGGCAGTACTGTCTAGTGTCACTGCTCAGCTCTCGTCCACAACCCCACCTGCTAAACACTAAGTGGTCATATCTAAGAGTTTCCTATGATCCTAATGCTTGTAATAGTAAAATAAAGTTTTAAATGGAGCTGTCATAGTAAGCCTCCTGATCTGCTAATATCCACAGAGGTCTCTAACAAGGAAGCAAACCAGAAACAGCAAGCTGTTAGACAAGTAAAATGTTGATCCAGCTAACTTTCATTCTCAGCAAATTTATCAATACTGGTTAACAATACTTCCAACTAGTACAGGGCCTTCTGACATGACAAAATGAGTGTAACAACCCATTCTGTCAATACAACACAAATGTCATTTCAAGTACTCAAAACCTACTAAGCTACCCTAAAAAAGATTGATTTATCTGCTCCAGTGTTTCTTTGGGGCAAACTTTTCTCACAACTGAAACCAATTAGTGGGCCTGGCACTTGTAGTGC